GCCCTTCACACGCCCTCAGCTTCTATTTCATAGTTTTAATGAACCACCTAGAAAGCCTTTAAATCATATATACGAATCATTTTTTTGGAAAACTCGAAATATTAAAATTTAGGGTGTTCCACCAATCTTTGACCGTTGATATGTTTGCTATTTTTCAATCTTATAAATTGATGACGTTAACAGAACTAGCTTGAACTTGAAGTCTTACTCAAAAACAGACCCTACACTCCGGCAATCACGATAAGACAACAGTGTAAACTTGTAGGTGAATTTAGTGCTGTCATTATCTCCAGAATGGTTCTAGCAACATAGAGGTTTGGGGGTTTTGAGTTAGTAAGCCCAAAAACGACAAGCATTTGTTACCGCTCAGTTACCTTTACCTTTAGTGTTTTATACAAAGCCACCCAGCTAACCGCGATTTCCGAAATGGCCAAAGATACAAAATGTTTGGAAATGAAATCTAAATCCAAGTACTTCTTTCTAAAACACTAAAGCCTAGAAAAAACTTAAATAAAAGAGTTATCACCGATCGAAAAGCACAGATTTTTGGAACACCTGTATTTTCCGGAACCACTTCTTATGACTGACATCGCGATAAACATTTAATCAATCAACGCGACATCAGTAAGGTAATATGGTTGCCATTAGATAATTGGCAGCCAATCAGTGGCCATTTTATCTCACTTGACGTGCTTGCTAAAGCACTACTCGTTTATCTTTGTGATTGATATCATAGTTATTGAATCCACATAGCAGCTTTAATTACAGATTTAAACATTAACACATTTACATTTAGATAGCAGTAACTTTTAACAATTACATTTGCATGAGAGAAGCATTTAAGAAGCTCAGAGGATGAAGGTGGATCCAAGAAGCAAAGTAAAAAAGCTAGATTTTATTTAAAGGAATGTAAACAGTAACTCACAGCGAGTACACCAGGCAAAAGAATTGCTTTTACAATACCAATAGCTTCTCCTTCTGTGCTTGGCAGCCTAAAAATGATTTTTGCTTGCCGCTAAAACCTATCTGAGCATTTTCTGGGAAACCATGCCATGCCACACTAAACTAATGTAGACCATCCATTACCTTTCCGCCATACTTTCTTCGGTATCCAACTGAGATTCTTTTGGTTTTACTCTGATTGACAACATAACAATTATAGCACCAAAAAGCATAAGAATAGCACCAAAAATGAATGTGTACTGAAAGGATGCATGCTTTAGAAGAAAAAAAAAATAGATTGATTATTGCATATGGGAGGTTTGAATCTGTATCTTGCATATTTTAGCTCTATCTATGAGCAAAATAGTCTCGCAAACACACCTGATATCCCAAAGGTAAAATGAGTGCAACGAAATACGATCCAAAGACATTACCGAGAGGTTGGCAAGATGCCCACACACCCATGATGAAACCGCGATTGCCCTTGCCAAACCAGTTGGCCTGAAACAAAAACTTGCAGTACTGCCATCAAGCCTTCTTTAATTTCCCTATGACCATTACTAGTTCATCAAAACTAAAATCAGTGGTTAAACCAAGTGTAGTATCTCGCAAAGCACACTTCTTCTTACAATGATGTTTAGAATTTCGCAAAGTTCTGTTAGGCATTTTTGAGTTGAAGGCATGAACTTATTGACAACCCTCGACAATCAGGTCTTCAGCTTACGGGAAGTTTTCAGTTCTGAAGTATTTTCAGTAGCGGGTGGGAGAACAAAATTGATGTTTAGGACTTGACGGAAGACTTGAACCAATCCAACTTCCAACTGCAGCACAGGTAGAAGATCCCAACTTGTATTTTCCAACATACTACATTCGAATATTGAGGCTTTTGGGGCTTGAATTTTCAGCAAATAATTTGCTTAAGAAGGTACGATTTTTTTTTCTTATTATCAGCTTTACTTTGACCATCTGAAGCAGAAAAAAGTTGAGCATTTAGAAAAGAGAT